CTCATGCATAATTTTTCTAAAGCCTTTTCCAAAGACATCAGTGCATAGGTTTGCTATAAGAAGCAGAAATATTTATCACATTTGGAATCAATAATTATCACAGAAACAACTACAGTACACTACTCTTCATGTACTTTGATAATTAAAATATGTTTGTCTTTATACACAATAAAAGTGTACAAAGCACAAAGTAAGAATAGAGTGTTTTTGTTTCAAGCTAATCAAAGGAAGGAATAGCCTGGAAAAACAAATGGCACGTTAAACAATCATAAAAGGCAGATTTGAACAGTTTTACATGTGAAGATATGTAAAATTGTATCCAGGAGATTGAAAAAAACTGGAAAAACTCCCATTGTTTGATAAGGCAACACATTTGGTAACACAGCATAGCATTGATCCCGACAATGCCAGGTTAATGGAATGTCACTATAATAAATAAAACAAATTTTGTATTTTATATATGCTTGCAGGATAACTTTGGTATTTTTGGTATTGGTATTTTTATTTCCCTTTAAATTTGTTTGCTATTGGTTATGCTAATAATAATGTTATATGTTGTTATATGTCACTGCTATCATGTTCCAAAAATGTCAATGTTTTAGATGCTGTAGAAGCAAATACATTAATGCTTATGTTGGCCATTTAGAAAATTTTAGCAGATATAAAAGATCAACATGTTAAATATTGCAAGCAACACTACTAAACATGATACATTTAATTAAAAATTATAATTATTAAATTTATTAAGAGATGGTGCCTAATGCTTCTCTCTAGTGTCAAATTATTTGGTAATTTATTAATATTATAGCCATTATTAGCCCAATTGCATACAGCAATGATTGGCTTTGTTAAATATTGAACAAAAATAATTGAATGATGATATGTTTGGTATTTTTAAGTTTTGTTAAGACACAGTTGTTAATTAAATTATTTGTGTTTTTTTTTAATACTAAACAGATGATAATGAATAACTTCCAAAATGAAAAGTTTTGTTTAGATATATTAAAACAATAAAATTAAAAATCATAATACAGTAGAGCGTCGATTTTCCGAATCAATTGGGAACTGGGGTTGTTCGTATAACTGATATTTCGGATAACCGATTTATGTACGAAAAAATAGTTTAACGTATCCTATGTTGAAATTTTTCTCCGTTGCGTGTTGCTTCGCATTGAATTTTCGTCGATGTTAAGCCTAACAAAGACTATTGTATCGTTAAAAATTATTTTTTTTATTTTGTACAAACAAAATAAATATATTGGAAAATATAAAAACAATAAAAAGATTATACTTCAGATGTTAATTTAGTATCAAAAACGTAAAATATTTGAGTAGCCCAAGACATAGCAAAAGATTGAAGCTCCACAGCACTGGCAAAAATTTAAATTTGCCGACTGGAAATCATTTGGATGATTGACTTTCGGAAAATCGACGCTCTACTGTATTATGTTTAGCGTATTATTTTCCTGTTCTAAAACTACAGTTTTCAAATGATAAAATTGTAATAAGATTAAATAAGAAGTTTTTTAAAATTTTGTATACATTTTATATAATAAATTAATATCATATGAAGAAAATAATATCTTATCTTTTGATACTCTCTGTTAAAATTATTTTTTAATAATGAATGTGAATATAATGAAAAATATTTGCAATGTAAATAAATACATAAAGTTTTTACAAATATGTATTTAACATCACCTGGATTAACTACCATCAATAAATGATCTGATTATTTAAAACTTTTGAGTAAGTTTTAGGCAATTTGATTGTTACAATGGTATTTTTACAATTGCTGCCAAGCGATCTGGTATATTATTGGGCTATAATAAGGCAAATGTAATAATTAGGTTAAAGCTATTTGACTAGAGACAGGCAGATAGGCTGCCATTTTCTGATAATTTTTATAATTATAATAAATTAATTGGTCTGAAATTTTAAGATTGCAGACATACACATTCTCACTGTCTGTTCATTATGTCCTTTATTCAACTTGAGAGTGGAGTTAGATAGATGAGTAAGGCTCTGTACACACTAGGCGTTTTTCAACGCGCATTAAACGCGCGCTTTTAAACGCGCGTTTTAAAGAACCAAGAGTTCTATGTAGCCGTACACACTCAAACGCCAAGCGCGCGTTTATAGAGTTTTGTTAAAACGCGCGTTTTGCGAGCGTTTTACGGGGGCTTTGAGATATATGTGCTGAAATGGAAAACGATCATTTCGATACTGATCTATTTATTGATGATATCTAAAAGACACCAACCATTGTCAAAGGATTTTATAGATATTTTAAAAGAATTAAAAAACTTGAATTTATTTTGTCTTAGTTTTGGATACAACGTCGCAAACATTTCATGCGTCAGTCTATCTCGTAATATTGGGTGCACCCAAAATTCTCTTTGCCTCTGCCGTCGTCTTTTATAGCGACGATAGAGGAGCCACACACAAGCAATCACTTCCACATCCATTTCCAAACCGAGCCAGTGCGCACGCTCAGCTAAACGCTGGTCAAACGCGCGTTAGCTCGGCGTTCGACGAGCGTTTAACGCGCGTTGAAAAACGCCTAGTGTGTACAGGGCCTAAAAGATGATAAGAAATTGCTGCCTGGCATTGTGACAATGTCACAATAATATGTATTTTTAAATTTAGAAATTCTGAAAGAAAAGAATCAGCCTAGAGAGAGACTGAACCTCATCTGCTTAGCATGCAGATGTGTTTGATAGTTACACTACTCATATCTCCATTTGATCTTTCTTTCCAGAGCTATTAATTTAGATATTATCATACTAATCAATCACAGTGCTGACTGGAGACAACTTTAATACTCATGGTCCTCCATGGCTTTCAACCAGCTATTGCTTTCACTTTGGCATGGTATATGTATTCATATATAAACAATTCATAAATTGGGATTATGGATTGTAATTTGTAATATGTAATTTATGGATATGTAATTTTAAATATATAAACATTTAAAATTACTATTACTTAAATGAAAAATTTAAAAATAAAATAAAAAAAAGTACAAATTACATTTATTTAACTTTGATACACAAGTTTGAGTTACAATAATACCAGTAAATACTAAAGTCAAAAATACTTGACTATATTATATTTATTATATTTAATAATTAAAGTCATTTTAACAGATGTATATCAGATGATTTTTCTTCCATAAAGCTGATTTATTATATATTCTAATGTTCTACATCTGTTCTTTTTTATATTATAACTGAAAGATGGTTATAGTGCTAACTTAAAAATGTTAATTTAATAGATTATACTGGAATTACAGAAAGATAAGATAAAGATTTTTCATTAATAACTATGACTATTTTCTCTAATAAAAAAACTAACATGTAAACATAAACCTTAAAAATAATTTAAAGTATAAATGTACACCAAAATATGGTATCTGGTAAGTGTATCATATCATATATCTAATACAGTGGAACCTCAGTATACGTCTGCTTTAGAATACGTCCAATTCGGAATACATCCTCTTTGGACAAAACAAATTTTGCTCGGTATACGACTTAATTCAATTATAAGCGCCATCTATGAACAAGTAGCACTATCGGTGTACTAGACCAGATTAGACGTTTGCGGTGCCACGGTTTATAACTTTGTTAAATTTCTTCTGATTTTAATTTGTAAGTAACATTTTATTATTTTTATTAATCATGAATTGCAAAAAGGCAACAGAAAAATAAAAAAATGGACAATGGAATTGAAAAAAGAGATTGTTGAGAAATATGAAGGTGGCACGCGTGTTCGAGATTTAACGAGATTTAACTGTTGCATTCCGTATTCCGAGAACGACGATATCGACAATCGTGAAAAATAAAGACATTATTAAATTTGCTAACGTTGCGAAAGGGGTTAAATCAATTTCTAAACAGAGATCGAAGACATTAGATCATGTCGAGAAATTGCTTTTGCTTTGGATAACTGAAAAACAGTGTGCCGGCGACAGCGTATCGGAAGAAATTATTTGCGAGAAAGTTAAAAGGATACATGCTGATCTCATGAAAAATCAAGCAGGAACTAGCCAGGAAAGCGAGGGGTTTAAAGCCAGCCATTTTTTTTACATGAGAACAGATTAATCATTTTTACATTACTTCTTATGGAAAAGGTTGGTTTGGTATACGTCCTATTCGGTATAAGTCCAAACACCAGGAACGGATTAAGGTCGTATACCGAGGTTCCACTGTACTTTAAACATATATCATTGTATGTTTATTTTGAGGATGGCTTCTGTTATAGTCACTTTAAAAATCAACACCTTTGATATACAATATATATATATATATATGATAGAAAGAATATGAAATTAATTCCATTTGGAGCTAACATATTTTTGACTGAGTTTTGATTCCATTTTTTATCATTTGTTATATTAATGGAAAATTTAATTATTAAAATAATAAATATATTCTAATAGCTTATTCAGAATCAGTTCTATATTTTCTTAGCATTCGGATGTTAATAAAGAATATGGGATTGATTCCAACTTAATACAGATATATGTTTTATTTGGTCTATATTTCATTTTTTAAATAAACGTATAATTTTTGTCCAGTATTAATGTAATTTTTGCATAGAATACTATGGTTTCGTATGCTTGACTTACATGTTAGATGATAATATTTTATCATTTTAACTCTAAATAAATTATTTATTATTATTATTATTTTTTTTTTTTTTTATTTGATAAAAAAATATTTTTGTCTAAAATGAATAGAAAAAAGAGAACCAAAAAATATGAGAATTTTGTATTTATTTACCGAAAAACAAATATTTTTACCTTATAGACCATCATCAAGTTGAAATTTGAAAAAAAATGAAACATTTATTTGAATATTAATGTCTAAACATATTAGAATAAATTGTTTTGATTCTATTTTTGTTTAATTATCAAGTTTGCATTTTATAATTAAAAATTAGCATTTCTTATTACAAACTGTATTGAATTTTAATATTTATTATTATATTTAAAGGCAACATATTTGATTAACAAACATCATGAAGACTGAATTTTCAGTCAGGTGGCATAAGAATGATAAGCCTAGTATGTTGAATCACAGACAAGTGTCTTATCAATCAATGAATGGGCTTTCTGAGCCATTGGGTGCCACTCTGGTTGTCAAAGAAGAGCATAAAAACATTCCTCATTCAAAAAGTAGTAGTGATGATGAAATGATTGACATTACAAGTACCGGGACTGCAGGTGGTCAAAATGCTGATGAATTCCCTCAGCATTCTCAAGGTAAAAATTGTATTTTTTTCAATTGAAATAATTTGAAAATTATGATTTTCATTTTTAAAATTCTTTGAAATTATTGGAAGACAAGAAGACAAAAAATACACAAGGCATTTATAATTAAATAGCAACATATACATTATTAAACTGTAAAACTCAATACATTTTAAACAAGACAAAGACTGCTGGAATCAAAAGTAATTACTGAATGTCTTTGATTACTGTAATATAACAATAAATACATTTTTTCACAAATTAAACACATTTTTAAACAATTATATTAATGATATTTTTGAAAACAGTTCTGTTTATTTATTTATTTATTTTTGTTTTGTTTTGCATGATTTTATTTATTTATTTCCTATGCCTGTTTACAAACTTAATGGAGTTGCATGCAATTAACTCCAATCTATGATTATTGTAGGTGTTGCAGATTACTTCTTAAAATATGTTTTTCCTCAACGATACCAAAACAGAAGTGACTATGAAAGATTAATTACAGGTAAATTAATATAATGTACAAAAAATCATTTTTCACAATTTCAGCCTTATTCTTTGGTTTTCTTCTGTGATTCTTTTCAGTTTTGTGTATTTTCTTTTCACATTCTTTGTGTTCTTATTTAATAACTAAACATGTACACACATTTTATAGTTTAATTTGAATATTTATAAATAAGTATATATATATATAATGATTTAACTGATTATTTAAAATGAATATTAACTTCAGTAAACTCTTCCAATAGGTAAGCTGGAACTTATATATAAGAAATTACACCATTCACACTTTTCCCAGTAGCAGCATTAATATACAATGTTTTCAGCCACATTTAGGGGCCTGTGTTAGATTTCACCATTAACCAAATTGATGTCTATAATGAAATACAAGTTTGGAACAATATTAGTTTTCTTTTGATATCAAAAGCTTTCTGAAATATGATTTTAATATTATTCCAAACTTGTATTTTGTTATAGATGTTTGATTTGGTTAATGTTGAAATCTGACACACCCCCCTAAATGTGGCCAAAAAAATTTATATATTAAAATGCTGCTGCTGGAAAAAGTAGATGGTATGATTTCTTATAACTTCAGTGAAGTTTTTAAATCTAATTTTTTAAAAATAGTTTTGTATTTAAAAAATAATAATAATAATTTTTAAATTTAAATCAATAAAAGAAATATACAAGGAGATTATAAAATAAGATGTTTAATACATGTTTTCTCATAATTTTAGACATTTAAATCCTTTTGAAAACATTATTTTTTACTTCTTTTTTCGATTTTGTTATTCTTGATTTCCAACTCAAATATAAATCAGAAATCAAGAATATAAAAACAAGAATAATCAAAATATTACAAATTTCCAACTCAAATTATCTGGTCAAGCTGTTTTCTTTTTCTTTCAATTAGAAATTTTTTCATTATCTGTTACTGTAAAAAAATTTTATTAAAGATCACATTGTGACAGAATTTATAAAACAAGCTCAATACATTATTTAAGTTGATATTTATAAAGTGATACATGCTTGGAAACTTACCTTAAAAGTGTGAGATCCGAATAGCCCCTGGGTCTAACTAACAATTTAAAAGTGAAGTTAAATTTTTGTAGAAAAATATTCTTTCATTTTGGAGTGAAATTAACAGTTTTCTAACATGGGAAAGCTGATAAAACAATCATTTCCTTTAATGGAAACTGAAGCATCCTTTGTTTTTCCCTTATCTGTGTACAAATCTCACCACCATGAGAATTGTCGACCCCTCATTTATTCCCCTTTTCATCTGTTCACGTGGGTGAAGAAAAATATGCTGATTGGTCGCTAATCAAGAGATATAGCGAAAGTTTAGTAGAATTCGGGGAGTACGTCCGCAGATCTGGTAGTGGAAAGAAGTTCTCATATTGTCTCCCTAAGGCCAACGTCCTTAGTCTGGGAGTACGCCAGAAGATCCCAAGAAAGGAAGACGTAGTCCATTCAAGCTCCTAAGGCCAACGTCCTTAGTTATGAGTATCGTATCTATAAACCAACGTCCATAGACATAATTATTTCATGTTAAAACGAGTTAGTTAGGAAATAGAAGATATATTTTATTTTGTGCCTATCAGGACCTCTCCATGAACTCTGAGAAATAGAGGAACGAAGTAATATCGACAAATCAAGAAGAAGATAAAGTCAACTAAAGAGGTTGTATGTTTATCATAAATTTGTGAGCTTTCTCTCTCTCTCGGTGCGTATATTTTGATTTATTCATTATCTAAATCGATTGTCTTTAACTATTTCCATTTTGTAATGTTTTGTTTATTTTAGTTTATTAAATTTTTTGTTATTATTAGTTAAAGAAATGTCTCTTAATAATTCTCTGAATCGAATCCATATCATATCCAAACGCGTGTTATAAATTTGATTAACTGGTGTCAAAGGAATTCCTGACATAGGAACGGAAGGATCTCACAATTCTTCATTCCGCTTTAAATATTCAACTGTAAGTCCCTCTGCACTCAAATTTCCTTAGATTGGGAAAAGCCATTCTCTTGGACAACTAGAGAACTAGTTTCATCAACTAGAAGCCAAATAAGTGATACAAGAGTAATAAACTACTCTGTACCCCCGGCTAGATCTCACAAAAGCTTAAAAGTTAAGATTTAAGAAGCTTTCAATTATGATCCAACAAAATGTAAATAATAATGATATCAGGTCAGTCCATAAGTTCGTGCGCATTTTTATCTACAAAAAAAGCAACAAAAAATTTTAATTAAATCTTATTTCAATCTATAATGTATTCACCATTATTTTGTATAATTTCTTGCCATCTTGATGGTAGCTTTTTAATCCTGTCTTTGTAAAATGATTTTGGTTTTGAATCAAAATATTCAGAAATAGCCTTTTTTACATTGTTCTCATCCTCAAAAGTTTTCCCTTTTAAGAAATTCTGCAAACTCCGAAAAAGATGATAATCACTGGGAGCAATATCTGGCAATATGGTGGATGAGGTAAAATTTCCCAGTTGAAGCTTTTGAGTTGAGGATTTGACGTTGTTGTCAGTTAGCTATTGACAGTTCATGTGGTATCCATTTTCCTAGCTTTGAAACTTTTCCGATTTGTTGTAGATGTCTATGAACAGTTCCATGGGATGAATTTAAATGTTCCACAATTTCATCAACTGTTAAAGATGGTTCTGCTTTAACTAGTGCAGAGAGAGCATCATCATCAAAGTCAACGGGTCTTCCAGTACGAGCCTTATCCTCCACACTAAAATCATTATTTCTAAATCTTTCAAACTACTTCTGCGCAGTCCTTACACTTGTTACAGTTTGATTATAAGCAGTATTTAATTTTTTGGCTGCATTTGTAGCATTTTCACCACTTAAAAATAAAAAGTATAAAACATGTTTCTTATATTCATCTGTTACTTCCATTTTAACGAAAATAAACAACTGAGATGTTCCCAATTCTGAACAGTATTATATGAATTAGATCCAATTTAACACTTCAGTGTAAAAAGTATCACATTAGACTGGCATTTTTAACAGCAAAACAAGATTTTTCTCAAGGTCATAAAATACCCACAACTTATGGACTGACCTGATAGCATGTATATATTGTTATTACCAAAGTAAATAAATAATAATTAATAATAGAGTGAAAGTGCATATTATAGGGCATCTACTTATCTGGAAAATTTGAAATTCTCGAGGAACTCCTTTTTTATATGAAAAATTAAGGAAATCTTAGGAATTTTTTGAATGACTTTGCAATATTTTTAATATGCAATATTTGTTTTTTTGCATGCAATCTCAATAAAATTACTTATTTAGACTCATTATAGTTAATAATTATGAAGTGGAAAAAAAATGTAGTGAAATAATTTTTTTAAATCTAACTATTTTATTCAGATGAGTGCAGGAATGATAATCCATAACATGAATGATTAATGCATGTGCAACTGAGAATTTGCCTTTGTTAGATATTACTAATGTTTAAGTCATTAATATGTGTTTGATATAAAGTTAAATAAACTGTTCAAATATCAATAAAGGATGTTACAATATTGAAATATTTTACAAAGTAAAATACAGAGTATCAAAAAGTCACTATGCATCTACAACAGGATCTTGTTTTCCATTGGATTGTTATATGTGGATTAATGTTTTCATGAATTGTGAATGCTCAGGTTAATCTTCACCTACATCCACTGAATAAGATTCTTAAGTCAGTAAATTGTGCTTCTTCAGCTTCTGAAATTCTGAACATGGAGAACTACTCAATGACATTCACTGTAATGATTAAAACTGGTTTTTAAGTATTTTTTCTAACTAGTATGCTTCAGACAATATAATAAAATTTTTCTTTGTATGTTCAGAAGCATCAGACTAAAATTTTAAAAACATATGTCTAAAATAAGTAAACATTTTAAATACATTTTAATGTTTTCCTGTTAATTGTAAATGGTTGCATAAGTGTCTAGACCAGTGTTCCGCAACCTTTTTCTACTTGTGGCACACCCATCCCTCATGACTCAACAAGGCACACCAAAATGTTATTACCCTAAAATACGTATGATATGATACTATTAATAGAATTACATAATGCCACTAGTCTATTATTATTATTATTATTATTATACAGTATTTAGTGTGTTATGCTCGGTTGATACCAGTGACTGTGTACTATACCTGACCAGAGTCAAGGCATAGCAACCAAAAACAAAAATTAAATAAGTGTGTCAGTGTCTGTATTCAGGAATTTCCTAACAATGTGGCATGTATTCAATATAGTATTATTATTATTATTACTATTATTATTAAACAGACATCAACACCTGTGAGCAAATTTATTTTATATTTGATTTCTTAGAATACATAAAAATACCTGGCTTGTAATAAAGAATAAACAAACATTGTCTTATTTCATCAGTGCTGTGGCAGAGAATGAAATACAAGCATAAGAAACACAGCAACTGTGATAAAAATATATAAATAAAACTTGAAATTAATAGAATATGTAAAAGTTCAGGACACACCTTGTGACAGCACATTTGTTGCGAAACACTAGTCTAGGCAATCAGCTAGGACTAATTGGAGTGGAACACAAATTTACATTGAATTTCGTTTTGGAGTCATCAAGCTTTTGGTCAAATTGTATCTTTGCCAAATTTAACTTTGAAGTGACTGAAATTTAACTGTAATTTTTAACTTAATCAAATTATATCTTTTTGATCAAGTAAATTATGTTTTTTTTTTCCTCCCATACACCATTATATTCTTATAATTTGCATTAAACTTTATTTTATAATTTATTTTATTGTTTTTTGTTTTGATTCTATTACAAATTTCATTAAACATTTGTTAGATTCTTACACCTTGACCATATTTTGACACTTATTCTAAAAAAAGTGTTTACCCTTTAGTTAAATAATTATTTTATATTATATTATATTATGTAATAATAATTCATTCTGCAATGAAATTTGTGCAAAATACAATGAAATTGAAATGTAAGATGAATTCATTGGTGTTGAAATTATTTGGATGTTTGTCTCTATTACAATAAAAAAAGTTTTTGAGAATGATTTTTATTGAAATTAGTTGTTTAATAATTAATTCTGTTAGTAAATGAATATCTCATCAGTTTCTTGACAAGATATTCATTTACTAACAGAAGTAATTTGGAATAACTACTCTTGTCAGTAAATTCCATTTACTGACAAGAGATTGACAAGAGTAGTTTTCCAATGAAATATTTTGAAGACTTGTTTATTATTGATGTTTTTAAAAGTTAAATTGTAATTTTGTCGTATCCTATTGTTATTTTTTGTTTTTGTATTGTTTTTAAATCCGATTGTTATTTTGTTGATCTAACATAAAGATTTTAAAATGAACTTATCTCAATTAAGGGAAAAATATTCTTGTTATTCTTATTCTAGTGAACATTGCATTAAATATTTTTAATTTCAGCAAATGGTTGTCACAAATAATTATCAACTATGGTTGATAATTAATTATAGTTGATAATTATTTCATTGGTTAGTGTTTACCTTGTTTTTACTTTTTATGTTGTTTATTTTATGTTGCAATTTTTATAGAAGTTTTGTTATTCTTATGTCTTTAGAAATCTATTTAAAATATTGAAATAAGTTTTATTTTATCTTTCATTTATTTCTTTTATTGATAAGAAATCAAAAAATAAAAATTATTTTATTTTGATCTTTTGTTTTAAGCTTCAAGCATATTTGAATAAAGATCTTTGTTTTTTAACATGTTAACTTTGGAGATGATACCAAACTAAATTTTTGCCAGTTTAAAACTTTGCTCAAAATAAAGTGTTTTTGTTATTGCATTATATTTTAATCATATAAATGATTGTTATTTTGTTGATTTTTTATATTAGTTTTTAATAATTCAAACACAAATTATTTATTGTATTTATTCAGACACTTGACAAATCTCATCATTAAATTTTATTTTTTATTACTAAGTATCTGAATAAATAGAATAAATAATTTGTGTTTGAATTACTAAAAATTACTGGTATGGTTTCAAAAATACCAGAATTAGTTTTTAAGTTATTAATTAATTTGGAATTTATTTTGTACTATCAATTCACTAATGTAAACCTTCATTATGGAATCCATAAATAGTTTTATTTGTAATGTTTTTTATGTTATTGATGTATTTTAGAAAGGTGTCATCATTTCCATGCATAAAATATTATTATGTAACATTTTTATTTTTGATGAATTTATTGGTAGTGTCATATTTTTCATTGTTAGGATCTGGTATTTTAGATAATGAAGAATTGCCACCCGAAATTGGACAATATGATGATTTTCATACAATTGATTGGCAAAGAAATATTGCCAGAGATAGAATGCGACATCGACATATTATTAAAAAACGTATGGATTCAGTATGTGATATGATTCGCAGTTTTCATGATGCTTGGTCTGGTTGGCTTTGTGTTTTATTAACTGGATTAGCAGCAGGTAAAATTCTTTCAGTAATAACATTAAAAATAATCTATATTTAATACATATAATTGTTTTAGTATTTTCAATATAAATGTATTAAAAAATAATATAAATCAAATGGCAATCTTGATTTATAAATAATTTTCAAATAATTTTAACAGTTAAGCTTATATTATTAAATTATTCAATATTATCTATAAATGTTAATGAAATGAACTATTTTTCACAAAAATAATATACATCTACCAATATATAGTAATGTCATTTACATTTAGATAATAGAGGATAATTTAATTGTAAATTATGATTTGTGAATTAATTATAAGTATTTCTCAGATGTTTTATTTGTTTTTACTTTTCTTATATTGCAAAGAATGTTAGGAATGGTTCATTCTCCTTAATGGCCCCACATCAATGAGGGTTAAATATTCTTAACTCTCCACCTAATGGACTGCAATTTTTCATACAGATAATCGAAAAGAAACTTTTTTGACATTTATAGAATTTTATTTTTAAACAGAATTTCACTTCCATAAGAAAAGAAATATTTGTAAGGTATTTTTGTTCAAGTAATATAAGTTATTTTTAATTAATTAATATTATTAATATAGAAACAAATTTTATAACATAAAATTATTTGATGATTTATTATAAATTTTTTTTAATTAGATGCTTTTATCCAAAAGTATATTTTGAATTGTTTTCAATATGGAAAAAAAAATTTTATTTTCAATATTTAGAAAGCTGTATAAATATAAGGGGTATCTGGAAAGTAACTTCCATTGGGGTATTGAAACAATATTAGTATATAAATTATTGTTTATTTGTTAATACTTTACAGTTGTCATTGACTATTTAAATCAGTTAATACAGTCATAAAATCATTGCTTATTGAATTAAACTTCTTTTCCATTTATAAGTGATTTTTATTCATTAGAAAAATTAGATATTTTTTGAAATTTTAAATTATGTAGGTGCTGTTGCTGGAATAGTAGACATTGGAACAGGATGGATGAAAGACCTGAAGGAAGGCATATGTCCTCAAGTATTTTATTTAAACAAAGAACAATGTTGTTGGTCATCTAATGATACATATTTTCAAGGAGATCATTGTTTACAGGTATTTTATTTAATGCATTAAAGCTAATTGTTATCTCTAAAAATCGCATACATTCACTATGACATTTGAATAGTGAGAAATCATGATACATTTTAATATGTTTATGCTTATTAATTAAGACACTTGGCGGATTTTCTCATCTTTATTTAGTCAACTAAATAAAGATGAGAAAATCCGCCAAGTGTCTTAATTTATAGCACTATATTGTGTCAGAAGCATAAACAAATAGCAAAGCACAGTTTCATATCATCAAAATACATTTTAATGTTATATATTTATGTTTACTTTTTTTAACTTTTCTAAATGTAAAGTATATTTAGAAATGTTTTTCAAATTCACTAACTCATAGATGGAATAAAAATTTATACAAATTCATCAATACTTTAAAATAATATGTAGATAAAATATTTAAGATGTTTGCTCAATTCAGACACACATTATCAGGAACAATTGCAGACATTAAAAATTAGTTCAACTTGATTTAAAAATAAAGGAATAAAATGAAATCAAAATGAGTTTTCACATGGGTTCTAATATTTAGCATTAGGGTTTCTGAATTTGCTGATGTTGAATATCCCAGAAACAGGAAATGCCATTCAATTTTTCCTGGAAAATACAATGATTTGGGAATTGTTTTAGTTTTATTTTTAAAATAAACTGAACCAAAGCTATTCTCTAAATACATAAACTTAGCTTAAAATCATCACGAATGTTTTTCTGTCAAAATACATATAGCAGCACCAGAAATGAGTCAATAAATTGTCACTAAATTTTTGAACAAGTGAATGAGGCAGTGAACTGTGAACATAAAATCATAATCTGTTAAGAGTTTTGGGTTGCACAGTTGCAACAAATTGAATCTGATTAAATATTTTTTGAAGATGATAATGAGTTCTAAAATGAATGACAAAAACCTTCTTTTTCAATATTTCCATGCGCTTTAGCCACTATGTTCATCTTTGTTTTGAATAGCATCAATGCTTGTCAGTAAAATTCATCAAAAATTATCAAAATATTTTTAATTTTGTAAAGTTATTATGAATTTAATGAATCAGTAAGAAAACATTTTTGATGTAAATAAATAAAAAAAGGTTATAGTAAAATGGTTTTGGCTTATTACTATATATATATTAAATTTCACAATGGAACGAAAAAACATTGACAAGTTAGGATTCCTTAATTAAAAAATAACAAAGTTATTACATTTTTAGAGACCACAAATCCTAAAATTTTGAAATGTTTTTAGCATTTACTCATATCTTAAAAAATATTAAGGCAACTTAATACTTTGAAAAATATAAAAACTATAAAAAAAAAATGTGTTCTGAACAAAATACTGAACTCTTACAGTTGTATTAAGAGTGTACAACCCCTATTGGTTATATGTTTTAGTCTCATTTTGTGATTGGAAATTCATTTCATACAAGCAGTTTGAATCATCCTATATATTATTGACCTACTATTGTTTTAATGAGCTAATTTAAAAATTTGTATTCTATCACTATTAGAAATTTCTGAGAAATAGGAATAAGAATTTATTCTTTAAATCAGGGGTCGCCAAACTTTTTTAACCGTCAACCCCCAACAACTTTCCAAAACCTCACATTGACCCCCACAGTTAAGTTTTATTACAAGTGCAAGTGTATGAGCAAAAAAAAAAAAAAAAACACGAAAGAAAGAGAAACGATTTTACTATGCATTTCCTTTAATTTTACATACTTTACGTTTATTTGTAACTCACAATCAGTAAGACGAATGAGCTTGATGTTCCTTCTCAAGATTAGCAATATTTGGGTCAAAATTTGTTAGCTTTAGTCTTAAATTGCCTTGAAGTTCCACATTTAACTTATTCTCTGTTTGGTTAAGATGGAATTAACATGGCTAAAACCAGCTTCGACCATATATGAACTTGGAAATGCCAACAAAAGAGGATTTACAATATCACAAAGTTTGGTGTATTTTTTTGTTATGTTTACATTCGTCCAGAAATTGTTTAAAGTTAAATTTTTGAAAAGCGTTTTTGCTTCAAGGTCTTCTAATAATTCTATAAGTTCATCTTGCAGGTTGATGTCGACGTTTTCGATCTGAGCAGAAAATGGCGCCATAATCCATTCTGGAATATCGATATTTTCTAAATCTGCAAAACGCACTTTAAAATCATTGCTCAATTTTTGAAGATGATTTGTATATATTTCCAAGTCTTCTTCTGTTATTTGCAATTTTCTTAGATTTGGAAAGTACTGAAAATCTTTACGTAACAATGAAGATTTAAACAAGTTTAATTTAACTTGGAAGCCTAAAAGAATTGTCCGAACTTGAATAAATGTGACATCTTCACCTTGGAGCCTTGTTTGAATGTCATTGAATTTTACAAATGAGTCTGCTATGTAAAAAATGTGGTTCTTATGTTTTTGTAGTTCATCACTCAGAACAGAATTTATTTCGGTAAGAAATTCTATCATAGAATCAAATAACTCAACGAGCCTTTGTAAACATGCACCTCTAGACAACCATCTGACTTCGGTGTGTAAAAGTAACTGGTTTGTTAATTCGTCATTTTTCTCACAAAGTTTAGAAAACAATCTCGATTTAAGAGGATGGGCTCTAATTTGATTAATAGATTTAATACAAAACTGTAAAGCATTATGCAAATCTGGACTGAGATATTTTGCTACAAGGTGGTTTCTATGCAACACACAGTGAACAGTACGTATTCCAGGGACTTTTTCTTTAAGAAAAGTTGCAAAACCTCGGTAACGGCCTACCATAGCAGGTGTGCCATCAGTGGCTATTGCAATTATATTGTTAATTGGAATGTCATATTTATTCAAATATTTTTCTAAATTCTGATATATTGTCAGACCTTTTCCATCACATTCAAGATATTTAGCAAATAAAAATTCATCATTGTTAAGCCATAAGAAGAGAAGAAACACCAAAAACAGACTCATCAAGTTGAATAGAAAATTTGCAATTTTTGAGCTCTGAAACTATTATATTTTTGATGTTTTTGACCATTTCGTCAATACGCTGTTTTACTGAATTCACACTTAATGGTAAGCACTTTAAAACATCAGCGGAGTCTTTTTTCATTACATTTTCATTGACATCTTTAATTGCAGGTACAACTATATCTTCTGCAGTTGTGTGTGGTTTTCCCTTTTTTGCTATATTGAGCGAAATCTTGTATGAAGCGATTAAGCCTCCTTCAATATCAATTATAGAAGAAGCAGACGGCTTCATTAAACTTTTTATATTTAGTCGTGTTGCAAATTTTCTTTTAAGTGTTTTAAAAAAATCAAGATCTTTATCCTTTTTATCAGAATGAACTCTCTCAAGATGGTCTTTCATTTTAGCTGGTTTCATCGCATCATTTATAAAAGTTTTCTCACAAAGAAGACACATAAGTATTGTTTCATTTGTTGGAGAAAGAATAAATCCAAACTTTAAATAATCCAATGAATATTGTCGACATTTTTTTTAGAAACTGAAGCTGCCATTGCAGAATTATGATTTTATAAATAATAAAAGAAATGAAGTTACATCGTATCAATGTGAACAAAAGTAACTACAATTTTCTAACCGAGTTTAGCTTGCCACCGCTCAATTCTAGCTTTCTTGGATATTAAATCCAATAAACGAAGCATTGCTTCTTTAGGCGTAGTCAAGATTAAAACTTACATACAGTTACAAGGTTCACAAAATAAAACAAAATTCGTTTAAAAAAAAAACGATTATTTAGCTTTCTATGCCAGTATTTTTATTGAATAAAATTCGCTTACCTTCTATAAACCTTTGTCTTGACCTCTTCAAGTTTCATAGTTATATACAAAATCTTCTAATTGGTTTACAACAGTTAAGTCAGTCTACCCCCTTGAGAGATAGTAGTAATGAAAAATTTTTTCTAATTGCTTCATTCCAAAAACACCGACCTTCCTCGAAACTTGTAGAAGTCCCACAAACGTCGACCGGACTAATTTTCTATTTTTTTTTTTTTTTATTCGCTTTTACGTTAGGATTCCTTAATTAAAAAATAACAAAGTTATTACATTTTTAGAGACCACAAATCCTAAAATTTTGAAATGTTTTTAGCATTTACTCATATCTTAAAAAATATTAAGGCAACTTAATACTTTGAAAAATATAAAAACTATAAAAAAAAAATGTGTTCTGAACAAAATACTGAACTCTTACAGTTGTATTAAGAGTGTACAACCCCTATTGGTTATATGTTTTAGTCTCATTTTGTGATTGGAAATTCATTTCATACAAGCAGTTTGAATCATCCTATATATTATTGACCTACTATTGTTTTAATGAGCTAATTTAAAAATTTGTATTCTATCACTATTAGAAATTTCTGAGAAATAGGAATAAGAATTTATTCTTTAAATCAGGGGTCGCCAAACTTTTTTAACCGTCAACCCCCAACAACTTTCCAAAACCTCACATTGACCCCCACAGTTAAGTTTTATTACAAGTGCAAGTGTATGAGCAAAAAAAAACACGAAAGAAAGAAAAACGATTTTACTATGCATTTTCTTTAATTTTACATACTTTACATTTATTTGTAACTCACAATCAGTGAGACGGGTGAGCTTGATGTTCCTTCGCAAGATTAGCAATATTTGGGTCAAAATTTGTTAGCTTCAGTCTTAAATCGCCTCGAAGTTCCATATTTAACTTATTTCTCTGTTTGGTTAAGATGGAATTAACATGGCTAAAACCAGCTTCGGCCATACATGAACTTGGAAATGCCAACAACTGAGCGCCATAATCCATTCTGGGATATTGATATTTTCTAAATCTGCAAAATGCACTTTAAAATCATCACTCAATTTTTGAAGGTGATTTGTATATATTTCCAAGTCTTCATCTATAATTTTCTTAGATTTGGAAAGTACTGAAAATCTTTATGTAACAATGAAGATTTAAACAAGTTTAATTTAACTTGGAAGCCTAAAAGAATTGTCCGAGCTTGAATAATTGTAATATCTTCACCTTGGAGTCTTGTTTGAACGTCATTGAATTTTACAAATAAGTCTGCTAAGTAAAAAATGTGGTTCTTATGTTTTTGTAGTTTGTCACTCAGAACAGAATTTATTTTGGTAAGAAATTCTATCGTAGAATCAAATAGGGAACCCCCGCTTCATTCCAGGAACCCCGACCTTCCTCGAAACTTACTTGTAGAAGTCCAGCAAATGTCGACTGGACTAATTTTCTAATTTTTTTTTAGATTCGCTTTCACTCCAACACGAGTATTTAAAATAAAAAAAAAAAGGTTTTTTCAAAGCATAATTTTGAAAATTAAGCAGGCATTAAGGGGCAGCTAGTGAGCAGTGGTTGGGTCACTAGAGAAGCAGTAGCAACTGAAACTTGGTTAGAAACTTGTAGTAGTTACTTTTATTCACTTTATAGAATGCTTTACAGCAGGGGTGGCCAACACGAGGCCCGCGGGCCGCATGCGGCCCGCCGGTAGTCAAGTTGCGGCCCTCGGAGCTAGGTCAAATGAACGTAAATGTTAACTTTATTGTACATATCACTAAAAGAACATTACGTCATGAGTTATTCGTATCATGTATTTTTAAATTACAGCTAAGAGAAATTTGAAATATCTCTCATTTTTGGAAAAATTCATAGATTTTTAGCTATTTCAAACATCCCGCTATTTGACGCTCAGGGTTACTTAGTTTTTTGTCCGACGCTAGGTGTTGATAAAATTTAATATGAGACTTCAACTTTAGCTGTATATGTTCTGTGGGCTTCGGCGTTTTCGGGAAGCTTGCAATGCTATCGGCCTCATACTCATAACTACTTTCANACGGTGGTTGATTTTCTTGGGTAGCGATGTGGATATTGTATATAGGATGCTGGTTGCAGGCAGGGTGTAGTTTGTAGTACTTGTGGGTGTAGTCCATTTTGTGTTTAATGATATACTCTGCTATGTTTTTAATACTTATAGGAAGGTCAACTTCTTTAAGGAGGCCACTAGGATTTCTACTAAGGTGAAACTTCCAGTATGTTTCCAGGATTTTGAGGTCTAGGGGAGGTAAGTTTGCCAGTACCTGGAGTGCGTTGGTAGGTGCTGTTCTGTAGGCTCTTGCTACAGTTAGCAGACATGCTCGTTGGATGGATAAGATGTTTCTTTTAGTCTGTTGCTTGGTGACTGCCTTTCCCCATACCTCAGCCCCATAGAGAACCACCGGTTCAATAGCACACTCGTAGATTGTTCTGCTAGTATGGTGTTTTATACCCCATTGGTTTTTACAAATAGAGCGCAGAGAATGGGCAAGTTTAATACATTTTTTCTTGATGTTCTGAATATGAGGATTCCAAGTGAGAGTGTTATCTATCAGGATCCCAAGATATTTTATTTCGGTACTTGTCTGGATCTTTTGGCCATTGATTTTGATAGCTGGATGCTTGTCTAGGGGTCTTTTTCTAGGAAAGACTATTGAGTTACATTTTTCAATATTGATTTTAAGCTTGTTGTTTTCGGCCCATCTATTGACAGACTTTAATAGATTATTCATGTTAACTTGCAGCACCTCTTGGTTCCTGTGCTTCATTGTAATCAGCGTGTCATCAGCAAAGCCAACTATGTCAGCATCAGGAGTTGCTTGATTGGAAGGTTGACTATCCTGTAACCTCAAGAGGCCATCATAGACCAACAGCCACAAGAGGGGCCCAGAGCAAGACCCCTGGGGGCAGCCTCTACTTATTACCTTTGTGAGTGTAGTTGTGCTTGTTTTAATACACGCTGTTCTGTCTTGTAAAAAACTCCTGAATAAAGTAGTGATGTTCTTGGGGCAATTATTGTTATTGAGGGAGTCTAATATTGCTGGCCACCATGCATAATCGAATGCTCCCTTGAAATCTATGGAAACAGCTAACGTATGCATGTCTTTCTGTTTGGCTTCTTTAATGATCCCTATAAGTTGGCAGAGGGCTGTCCCCGTACTTCTGTTTTTCCTAAACCCATGCTGGTTTGGGTGGAAAAGATGCCTTGATTCCATATGATGTTGTAGCCTCCTTGCAATTAGAGCATCTAACACCTTTCCAAGAATAGAAAGCAACGAGATGGGCCGGAAGTCTTGCGGAGCAATAGCAACCGAAACTTGGTTAGAAACTTGTAGTAGTTACTTTTATTTGCTTTACAGAATTTATGTGGAATACTAAAATTAAATGAACAGTGTCTAAAAATGACTATAGATTTGCTAGTCAGTGTACTGAGAATACAAGCTTATGAATGCTACGAATGCATGATGTGCTATGTAAGTAAGAACCGGAGCACGGACTTGGCAATTTCTGTTCATCCTGTGCGACTTGATCCGTAGCCATTTTACATGTTGACAGGTAGCTGTACTATTAAATTCATTGAAACAATAATATGTATAGTTAAATTTGTGATTTTTAGTTTCAATTTTTCCATCTATTCCCCCAATTGACCCCTTAGCTGCATCGACTTCCCAATTGACCCCCTAGCCATATCAACCCCCCAATAATGTTACAACAACCCCTGGGGGTCGATATTGACCACTTTGGTGACCCCTGCTTTAAATATTTTCATTACATAAATATTTGAAATTCAACAGCAACATCACCTTAATTTACTTGATGAAATATTTGTTACTTTTATAACAGTAACCAAATGTTGCTGGTTTGAATTAATCATTCAACAATCTCATTGTCATTTTTCCATTTGAGGTTTGACTGTCTAATTTAAATATGATAGTTTTGAAGTAAAGATTGAAAGAATTTATGCACATTATAGTAAATGTATAACTAGGTGTATATTTTAATAGTGTATGTGAATAGCAGTTGGTTGTTGTGTACAGTTACGTTTTTATCAAAAACTTGCAATATACATTCAAAATTTGTAACAATTATAAAAGTTTTGATAAAAGTTAAACATTCAAAAGAATTAAGGAGTATTTTAAATTAAAAAAATGAAAATTACCTTCTTTGAGTCTTAATTGTAGCATAATAGATTTTGAAATGTATTTGTAAATTTTAAAAGTTATCTGTTTTACTCATTTATTTTTAGTTTTAAAATTAGTTCNAAGACACCAAGGGTTTACCGCATCCCACTACAGGATGATAGATCTAACAGGATATTAATGTATATTAGTTTCACATACACATTGTTGCAAGCCAGGTTACGAGATCACAAGTGTGATGTAGCAAAATTGATGGTACATTTTTTGAGTATTATATGTTTATAATTATTAATAGTAATTCATATAACAGGTCAAGTTGTAGATGATTAAAGTATTATTTGTGTACAAAACCAGGAATATTTACAACAGGAAAACATTTTTTTCACTATAAAAATATTACTTGAAAATCTGTAGAAACTTGTACATTTCAATAATTCTTGAAACTCTTTAGGATTGATATTTATATTTTAAAGTGTGTGTTTTTCTTCCTTATTTTTGATTTAGCTGTAATTCCTAGAGCATTTATAATTATTAATGTAAGAAATATTTGTTGTTGTTTCATTGAAAAAATATAACTTACTGTAAATATAATTCTAAAATGAATCTTAATATTTTATTTTTAGTGGTATAGATGGCCTGAAGTTTTCGGTTATGTTGTGGAAGAGCATGTTGTGGGTGCCTATATAATATCTTTTCTTATGTATATAGCATGGAGTTTATTATTTGCTACTCTGGCTGTATTATTAGTGAAAACATTTGCTCCATATGCCTGTGGCTCTGGAATACCAGAGGTAATATTTTATCTTAAAAATAAATATAGAATATTTTCTAAAATAATCCATTTAATTATTTGCTGTATGAACAAAATAAGATTTTATTATATAAGCAGTTTTCTGACCATGAATTAGAATTTCTTAAATTACACAAATCTTTTAAATAATTATTGAATCAGGTAATTATTGGATTATTGAAATAAAGTTACTAAATTTTCAATTTGTAAAAATAAATTAATTAATCAGTTTTTATAAGAAGAAATGATTTTACTATTTTTAGCCTTATGAGATTTATATAATTAAGTAAAGAAAAAAATATAAAATGGAATAAGATTGAATAATATTTAAACATGAAAAATTTAATATTATTATTCGAATATAAAATTATAAAATAACTTTTTATTTGAATATAGATTTTATAAGTGTTTACATTTTTTTATAATTTTATAATTGTCATCTGCCAGGGTTATTCTACAGTTTTCAAAACAAACTAGATAAAAGTAATAGAATGCTATGATAGATAAAATTGAAAATAATTGTTCTAGAGTTTTAGATGAGAATTTATATCCTTCCCTATATCCAGGAACACTTTTAGAGTATTCTTAATAAAAGAAAGCAATTGTCTAAGATGATTTTGACTAATAATAGTTGATACTTTATACATACAGAGGGTCATACCTAAATACAAAATTTCCAGCAAAGAAACACACAAATTCAATATTCAAACGTTTTCAACCACTATTTTAATTGGCCCTTTTCAGAAAATGTAAAATGAAAAAATTGTTCTATATATAGAATGTAGCAGCATTCTAATTTTCAAAAGTTTCAAATCAGTTTGAACAACGGTTGTGACGTACTGTATACAACATGTATTTTTTAGGAGTCTTAATAATATTTCCATGCATTTGATATAGAAATGTAATCTGTGTTGATGCATCTCCACTTCAGCTCTGTAGATTTCTACAGCCTCCAATGATCTTATGTGTTGTCAGTCAAAGACCTGTGTATTAGGGTAGCCTTGTCTCAACATGGGGAAATCCTTAGATCGGTGGCATAATATGCCAGAGCTGTATTAGTGTTTCCTTTTGCTACATCACACTTGTGATCTCGTAACCTGGCTTGCAACAATGTGTATGTGAAACTAATATACATTAATATCCTGTTAGATCTATCATCCTGTAGTGGGATGCGGTAAACCCTTGGTGTCTTGCTGTCTTTAGTGTTAGAAGGCAGAAAATGTTGTGAACTTGTTGTATGACAATTGGAGGAGTGGTCCTTAGTAAACTTCAGACATAATATCCTTATTTATACCTGATACGTTGATGACATTTTGATTATATGGAGAAATAGATCAGATATTGGGATGTATTGAAAGTTTTTAATACTAACAGCTATGGACTAACACTAAAATTAGATCAAGAAAGCTACACAGATGTTAATTTCTTAGACATCAAGATTCAGATAGTGGATAATAAGTTTAATACCACAATTTACTGCACACCTACTTGTGTCCCTCTGTTCATACCAGCCAATTCAGCTGATCCATGGTCATATAAGGCAGCTGTGTTCCATGCACTAGTAGCGAGATCCTACTCACATTGTACTGAGCTGTCAGATACTAACAAGGAGCTAGAACAACTGAAACATGTTGCATCCAAGCATCGGTACAGCCACTCATTTATCAATACTCTTGCATCCACACATCTTGCTATGTCATCCAACACCAATACTAACATTAACAAAACAGAAGATAATTGGGTAGTCCTAAGATATGAACTGTCCCTTCATCACATTTACAGGAAGATTGCCAAAAATTTAAACATACTCATAATGTACAAAAGGAAACTCAATGTTTTCCGACTTCTGTCTAATGCTAAAGACAGTAAGAGTGCCAGGGGTTTACCGCATCCCACTACAGGATGATAGATCTAACAGGATATTAATGTATATTAGTTTCACATACACATTGTTGCAAGCCAGGTTACGAGATCACAAGTGTGATGTAGCAAAAGGAAACACTAATACAGCTCTGGCATATTATGCCACCGATCTAAGGATTTCCCCATGTTGAGACAAGGCTACCCTAATACACAGGTCTTTGACTGACAACACATAAGATCATTGGAGGCTGTAGAAATCTACAGAGCTGAAGTGGAGATGCATCAACACAGATTACATTTCTATATCAAATGCATGGAAATATTATTAAGACTCCTAAAAAATACATGTTGTATACAGTACGTCACAACCGTTGTTCGAACTGATTTGAAACTTTTGAAAATTAGAATGCTGCTACATTCTATATATAGAACAATTTTTTCATTTTACATTTTCTGAAAAGGGCCAATTAAAATAGTGGTTGAAAACGTTTGAATATTGAATTTGTGTGTTTCTTTGCTGGAAATTTTGCATTTATGTGTGATTCTTTGCATGTATAGTTTCAGTTTACTTGTACAGTTGTTGTTTTTTGATACTTTATATTTTATATTTTGTGCTGAATAATAGAAATTGATATTAAAAAAAAAGAGGAACTTCAAAATAAGACTCGATATAGAGAATCTCTTGTCAAAATAATACTTAAGTTTGTAATATATATACAGTTTTGTAAAATATAATAGGTTCATTATAAATTAATTTAGATATGTTGATGATTTGTTCATAATTTGAAATTCTGTAAATGCAATTAACCAGTTGATAAAATCCAAAAATTGTTGAGGTATTATTATAATAATAGATTACTTGTCTTGAAAAAGTAGTAATTTTGCTTTTTATTTGTTATAATTACATCAGAGAGATCAATGAAAGAAGATAAATTGGTGAAGTTGTTTTTTTTTTTTTTGTGAAGAGATCTTTATTTATTTCAACTATGCGTTATGTCACATCAAAGTCATGATAAAGTTCTGATAAAATCTTAAGTTTTTTTTACATTAAATTTTTGTAAATTGGCATAAAACTATTGTTATTTTATGGGTAGCAATCATTGCCTTATGGCATCACTATTATTAATTGAAGATTTAACAAACTGTTATATATATATAGTGAAACCTGGATCTATCATTCCTATATCACTCATTTTCCACATCTATCTGTTTTATTTTTTCCTAGTTTCAAATAAGGACCCATATATCCATATATATAATGCTAATTTTTCCTGTATTCTTTGTTCTCACATTGCTTGTTTTCTCACAATGTTCATTCTGTATTTTAACTGAAAGAAAAATGTTGTTCCGCATCAATTATCCTACCCACAGTGGAGGGTGCTAAGTTAAAGCACATCATATATAAAATTAAACCCTAATGTTTGTGTACAAAAGTAAACCAATTCCATAAATAGTCCCTCTTAATTAATTAATATACTGTATTTATCCAATAGGATGATAAAATACAATAATGATATAATGTTATAATCAAACCAAAAGAGATAGATTATTGTCTTTTCCTGAATAGCCTAATTCTTGCAATTACTTACACAGCACTTGTACTTATTTGATGTGTTTTCTAGTAAAACTGCTTAAAGCTGTTTTCTTAAAAGACAGTTAAGCTATTTCCACTTAAAATTAGCCACCTCAGCACTAGTGCAGCAAAGTTCAGAGTGCTGAAAACAGAAGTTAAGATAACTATCATCATAAATTATAGCACTTCAAATGAAGATTGTGACATACAAAAATCTATTTTGACTGGTTATCAGAAAAATTACAAATGTACTTTTTCACATAATCATCTATTCCGACATAAACATCTTCAGATTTGTTAGTAATGATGAATGCACACATTATATTGTTGTTGCTTACCATATAAGTAATTGTATTTTACACAATATCAAATTTTTTCTAAATTGTTTGCCTTTGATATATCAATATAGTAGGTATTCTTACCAAAAGAAAATAGAATAAATTACAGTATTCTTAACAAGTTTTTTAAAGTGTAGAATAAGTGCATTCTATGCACTAATGCCATATCATTTAGTATTACAGAAAGCTATCATATAGTCTTATCACTGGAAAATATGCATTTCATACAAGATAAACAATAAAAACATCAATGTCATAAATTTCCTGTCATTTGTTTTCCTGCAGCAGCTGTTTTTTCCCCACAAGTCCTGCCAGAAACGATAGATCAAGGTTTCACTATATATGGAATAATTATTGAATTCAATAAAAGATCAAATAAAGCATTTATAAATAAAAATACATAAGTTAATGGATTAAGGATACACAATATATTTTTCTGTGTAAACAATTACATCTTTTTCCAAAATTTTTGTACTTATTTGTTTCAGATGATACTTTTTTGTTTTTTTTTTTAAATTCTGATTTGGAAGAATTTAGGAAACAGAAATTTCTAGAAATACCCAGAATTTTTGGGGAATTTTAAACTGAATTTGAATTTGACAAAATAAACTATATTTATTTTAAGAACTGATTTGTATTTGAGATGAATTGTAAAGATATCAAACTGAAATATATAACTATTTTAACCTATTTATTGTTGAAATTTTTATCTGTTGCCTGTGACACCATGTTGAATTTTTGTCGATGTTAAGCCTAAATTTTTTTTCTTTTTTTTTAAATAATAATCGTGTTTACTGTATTGTTAAAAATTATTTTTTTATGTTTCACAAACAAAATAAATATATTGAATAACTAGCAGACCCTGCCACGTGTTGTTGTGGCTCAAAATGTATCTATTATATATGTATAACACTTCCCACCTGGGAGGGTAATTTTTTGAAAAATCCCTTCTTAATATACATTCTCTTGACATACCCTATTAAAACCCAATCAAAAACACAAAAAACCGCATCTAAAATAGTATAAATAGAAGCAGAGTTCTTTACGGTAAGCCTTAATCCTGTCCATCTCCCCCCAGTGGGGGAAATTTCGACATGTATATTATATAAAAACATGTGCGTATTCGAATGCAGCATTGTGTGAAAATTTCAAAGGAATCAGTAGGAACAAATGAACATTACATTTTTATTTATATAGCTAGATAGAAGATGATCTACTTAAGTTCATCCTTACAGAAAAGCATAATGGCTCACAGAAAAGCAAACTTAGGTCGTCGTACTTATAGTGCCATCTGTTGGACATAAAAGCCTTAACCCTAGATGATATCTTTTAATTTATATGAATGTTAACGGAGTAATATACAGCCTATGTCCACCCTGAAGTTCCATTCTAAATATTGGTGAAAGAATTTTTGAAATTGTATGAATAGTTTCAGAGATTACCTGTTACATCCAAACTTACAAACATTACCTCTTTATAATATTAGTACATATATAAAAACAAAAAAAATTATATTTTAAAAGTTCGTTTTAATATAAAAATTGTAATGCATAGTGACATCTAGTATCAAAAACGTTCCAATGTAAACATGAAAATATTCGGGATCGCCCACGCAGGTCAATGAGATCAACACAAATATTTTCGGGAACACCGTAGGACAGGTTAATATGCATGTAAATTTGTATTGCAAATTTCAAAATTTGCTTCAATTTTAATAAATAGAATAATTATGGCATTATTTTATGTACTCTTCTAATATATCAACAGCGTGCTAGATTTTTTATATATATTACTTTTTTGCCATTTTCTTTTTTATAAAATAATTATATTAAAATTATAAATAAATAACTGTTAATATAGATAGTTAGTTAATGGTTATTTATAATTATTTTACAGATAAAAACTATACTTAGTGGATTTATTATTAGAGGATACTTAGGAAAATGGACATTAACTATAAAATCAGTGTGTATGATGTTAGCTGTATCTGCTGGACTAAGTCTAGGAAAAGAAGGTCCATTAGTACATATTGCCTGTTGTATTGGTAACATATTTTCTTATTTATTTCCAAAATATGGCAAAAATGAAGCAAAAAAAAGAGAGGTAAGAAAAAGTTGATTTATATCATTTTTAAAGTAGTTAATGTTAAATAAACACTAATTTTGTAAATAAATTGAAAAATCAGTTTGTGCATTTGTTTCCAAACCATCACTCCATGTTTTAGCTTTCAAATTTAACAAATAAATTTTGAATTTTTATAGCCTACTATTCTAAACCTACAAAAACATTTGAAATATAAAAAATATTTATTGATCAGATATAAAGTATTTTACCAAATATTAGAAACACATTCTGGATGATGACTTTGAAATGTTGATTTTTAAGAAATCAGCTTAAAATTCTAAAATCCAAGCTAAACTGACATAAGAATTGTTGATTTTATTAAACATTAAAAGATGATAAAACTGAAAACAACTTCTAACCATTCCTCTTCATGTTCAATATTTTTATTTAATTAATAATTTTCAATCTTAAATATTAGGCTTGTAAATACTCAAAAATATTAAAAAAACAGAAAAAGTCATTGATTAAATATAAATTAGATAATAAAATATCAAAGAACAGAAATTTGAATTGGTAAGTCACAGATTAAAACCATAAACTTTTAGGAAAGTTTTAAAAGTCTGCTAGTTGAACTAAATTGATCCAGAGTTGTTTATGATTTTTAAAAGATGACAGCATTAAAAGTTTTTTTAAAATATTTTTCTCAGCTTTTAAAGTTGTAATAATTGTTTCTGCAACTTTTAAATTAGATACAATCGACTGATAGAATCTTGATTTAATTCTGTCACTTAACATTATTTTCTTTCCAACTTTTATGATTTTAGTAATATTATTTATAATTATATTATTAGAAAATTTTCAAGTGCTTTTGCTATTTAGTATCTGATCCCTGTGAGTTGTTTCTAATATCATATTTTATTTTGCACAAAATTAAGGCATTTAGATTTATAATTGTAAATTGAAGCAATGTAAATTCATGGATTTGAATTGTTTTTTAGGAAGAATAACTTTTTATTTAATATTTAGTAGAATAATACAATAAGAAAGAGCTGTTAATATAACTGTAAATCTAAAAAGTGTATACAGAGTATTTAAAGGAGCCTATATTTTAAACAGTTTAATTCAAAAGAAAAGATGAAAGAAACTAAGAGTACTGTTTTTGTCCAAAAAATTAATAAGTGTATATACCGTATATATACAGGTATACCTCGAGTTACATCGTTTTGAGTTATGTAGAGTTATGAGATTATACGTCATTTGTCAAAAAATATATGGAAAAATAAAAATCAAGTTTAAGTCATTTTATTTGACTTTACGTCCATCCGCCACAAATATTGAAGTCGTAATATCACTAGAAAAGCATTAAAGCACATAAAATCATATTAAAATATGTACATTTACAATAAATGTTAATATAATCATCATAAATCCTAGAGAACGAAATATGAAAACATCTGTGTTTCTGTGTTGTCATCTTATTTAGCGGTCTTTAAGTGCTCAATATTGGTATTTTCCATGACAGCTCCAATATATATCAATACCATTTAGCGTCGTTGTCAGCACCACTCAATATTGGTAAATTTAATATAAATTAGTTTATTTTCTACTGTTGCAAGATAATTTTAAAGACTGTATTTGTTACAAAATCATCTTATTTTATAATGTCTTAGAGCAAACCACATTCACAAATAAAGAGTCCGCGATATACTGTAAACATCAACAAATTGTAAACATGTACACTTACAAGTATGTATTGTGCGTACATGAATTCGTAAATTTAGATTACTTTTTTCTGTACTATATTAAAAACTAAAATCTATTTGTTTGTAAGCTTAAAATAGATTCTTATTAACCATATATTACTAAAAATGCATTTATAAATAAAATACAAAACTGGGAATGGTTATTTGTGGTTTAGGCTAGTGACAAGTAAATTTGACTTATGTCATTTTTCAACTTAAGTCACCTCTCCTGGAACCAATTACCGACATAAGGTGAGGTATATCTGTACACACTTATTAATGCATACTGATGTTGATGGTTTTAACCATTGTTTTGCTGAGTCTAGTTAACAATTATTTTGAGAATGGCATACAGTTAGCAGAAGGTTTTTTCAGAAGAATCAAAATGTCATCACTGCATGAAGGAATAATGTTTAGTGAAAAACTTTTTCTCAAAACAGTATTTTATAATGTATCCATGACACTATACAATTTTGAAATTATGTAATAAGCTTTCATTTGGAACAGCAAAGATGATAAATCTTTTGTTAAGAAACACCCAGCAAAGATAAGACCCTTTGCTTACTAAAACACCAATGAATCTGTCAAAAATGGTTTTCTCTAACTTAACTCTACACAGAAAGTTGTTTTGTTTCAGACTATAATAGTAGTCATCTAGGCAGGAGCAGTGTTCAGTTTATAAAGAGTTCATAGTCAAAGGATTAATAACATAGTAAAAGTTTTAACATTATCAGTTTAAAAAAAGGTTCTCATTTTTTTTGAAAGGCCTATCAAGTTTTAAAAATAGCTCATAATTCATAATCTTTTTTCTATGATTTTAAAAATTTGTAGAAAATTAATGAATTTGATTTTCAAAATTTTAAATCATATGTTAATAGAAGAATTAAATAGGATTCTAATGCAAATATGTTTGGTTCTATATGCTTTCATTTTTGAGAATTTTTGGAAAAGGATTTTTCCGTGGAAAAAGCATTATATTTTTAACACCATCTACTGGAGATTGCACACACAACCAAAGAGGTTACACTCATCCTTAAGACTAAAAAAGGTCTTTTTTTCTGAAATTTATTTTGTTACAGAACTATAAGAAATTTCATAATTTATTTGATATTATTAATGGTATTAAAGAGTTTCTAAATATTTTTTGAATAAATATAGAAATCAGAATTATAACTAATCTCCATTGGTATAATTAATTCACTAATATATTTAAATACATGTAAAAATTCATAATATGAAAATTAATATCAAGTTTTAATAAGGAAGTGATTTGAATTTAAATCGTCAATTAGGACATATCTATTATTTATCACCTGTGATAAATAAAGACTGTTTTTTTCTGATATTATTTACTTAATTTGCAGAACCAGTTATCCAGTATAATAAATCCTAATAATAGATATGTCCTAGTTGACAATTTAAATTCAAATTATTACATTAAGGATACAAAGGCATATAAATTTAATAAGGAAGTGTTTTGTAATTTGAAATATTTTGTTTATTAGTATTGTGAGATTAGCAGTGGGTCACTGGTTAATCCCCAAATGACCACTTACTCTGCACAGGCTGGTAAAACCCGATGTCGGGGTTGTTGGATGGCTAGGAGGGCAAATCGAGTGGGGAGGGGTGAGGAAGCTGGCAGGTGTCCTTAAATGACAGGAGACAGGTTCAACAAAATAATAAACATTTATTGAATGGCTAAGCTATGATACATAAGGCGATAACAATATATAGGTTAAATGCAGTTAGATACAACTCAGAATAAATGCGGCTAACATACTATACTCCTTCCTCCAAGGGTTAAACTAAAAATACGCTTAGGGAGAGAGAGAGAGTCTGCAGGTTCAAATAAGTACCTCAAAGAGAGCTCTATGTGGCGATTAAGTGTTATGTGGAAGTTCCTTTGATCTTCTGTATGGTATCTTCTCCTTTCGTCGGGTTGAGTCCGTTATATGGAGGTCCGGGAGACGAGATGCACACATCGACAAGTATAACTTCCGAGAGATCGCCCTGAGCTTCCGGAGATTCGAGCTTTTATATCATTCGTGTGGGAAAACTGACATGTGATTGACTTTTGTTGACGATGACGGTGCATTCTTCACACCTAAGTGTAAACTTTCCCAGCTAGTTGTTAGTACAATCGGTGACATCCGATCTAATTCAAATTCCTCGGGTTTTTTCCGAAGATATTTACACTTAAAATAAAATTCGAATTTTTAAGAGCCCCGTAAAAATCCGCGAGCTCACAGTATTTTTAAACTAACTTATAGACATAATTATTTTTTAACTTATATTATTAAAAAGTTTTTTATTATTTTAAACAGATACTGTCAGCTGCAGCTGCAGCTGGAGTTTCAGTAGCTTTTGGAGCTCCAATTGGTGGTGTACTATTTAGCTTGGAAGAAGTAAGTTTTGAAGAGTACTTATAGTGCAAAAGCATATAAGTAGAATTATATATAAATTTTAATTAATATTGTTAAAAATTACTGATTAGAAAACTGAAAAAAATACTATTAAAAGTTTGGAGAATAAGTAATAGCATAGTAATTTTGACATACAACACTTCTAAGTGAGAGGCAACAGAAATCAGAACTTGCAACTTGTAATTTCTGTTGCCTCTCACTTGGAAGTGTTGTGGGTCAAAGTTATTATACTATTGCTCATTCTCCACTGGCAATAAAAAAAATAAAAGTACAATGGAGTTTTACACTCACAATTAACTTAATATCTGAACTAAAAATGTTTTCTAGTATTTTTATGAATCTTATGGCTGTATTTATACCATCTCAAGTTAAACATAGAGTTAGATTTAAACCATAAATTCAGTTAAAATTGGCATTCACCATAGATTAATTCTAGATTTATCTATTAAATCTGAATTGTGATTTAAGTTGTCTCTATCAGCAAGTTTATTCTTGAATTATAGTCTAATGCATGGGTGGCCAACAGTTTTTGTCCCCAGGCCGAATTGGAAAGAAAACCTTTTCCACGGGCGAACCAGAGGCTGCCCTAGGAAGATTTTGAGGTGGTGCGAGATCTCATTGTGGTGTCACCCTGTAGAGACTTAATTGTAGATAGAGATTACAGATACATTTTTCACATTATCATGCTTCATCAACATTCTACGCTGTAGGGGAGATCCTTGTATTTTGGGACACTTTTCTTTAAACCTTCATAATTTAAGTTCAAGTTGATCTTTAGTTATACTATTCAATATTTCTATTAGTAATTGATAACATCACTATATATGGTGCAACACGTGACCCTATGCTATTTTATTTATGAGAAAATGTCAAATAATTACGTAAAGATATTTGTCCCGAGGTACAATCCATGATTGTTCCTTGGGACATTGATGTTTGTACCTCGGGACACGAACCAAACCTAACGTTTGTGTAAATCTTCACCTCTGCCAGATGAAAAAAAGATAGTTTATCCAAATCTTTTCCTTTATAATAATATTAGCTCTATCAGTTTACAAAAATGTTTCGTATACTGGACATGCGGGTAAGTATAAAGCTTAAATGTTCTGTAGAAGGCATTTAAATGATTGAAAACCAAAGATAATCTCATTTTTGTATTAAGAAAAACAATAGTCATTACAAATATAGGTTGCAAACATTACTACTTACTAATTTTTTTAGAATTAATACTGCATTTCTGACAGTAATTTTCAAAAATGATGCAATCTTCATGCACCCAGAATTGACAGGTAACGCATTGAATCCAGTCTTCTGTACTCGAAGTAGTAAAATAATTTTCACTGCACCCCACACAATTATTTTCCTCTCAAACTTCATCACACAAATTGTCACTCTCTAAGATCACAGAGATTTCGTCCTCAGAGCTACTAACTTCAACTTTTTTCTTCTTAAAAACTCGCTTTTTAACAGATTTAGCATTTTTATTCACTTCATTCTTTTTCTTCGCTGCCAAAGAAACGTAATAACAAAAGTAAACAAAATAATATTAAATAAATAGTTGAGAAAAACAATGCCTCGTACAGTACCTTGGGACAGTCCTAAGGTACAAAAAATTCACTGTTCCAAGGTACAATTTTCTCTTGTTTATAACAAAGTATGGTTATAATTTTTGAATTACAGAAATCCAATGTTATTTATTAAAATAAGTGGTTACAAATGTAGTTATCAACTAACTGTACCTTAATTAAATTACTCACCTCAAAATATTTTGATTAAAACCAAGATCCAAATGGATTGCAAAAAACAAACACCTATAAAATTCACACGATGTGTCACAGCGGTAAAACAAGTCAAAATGGCCGACTTGAAACAGCTGCTAAATATTGCTACTTACTACTTCTCAATGTATTATTTTTCAAATGACGAGCTTGTCCCCAAGTACAAGGTGTCCCAAGATACAAGGATCTCCTCTACTTACGAGATTTGTAATGGAGGGTTAGGGTTAACTCTAAATGCACAATGAGTTGTTGATTTTTTTTTTAGGTGTCAGAATTTTTCATCAAGCTATCTGGACTTCAGTAACTAATATTGAAAGATTGATCACGGGCCACATAAATTCATTAGACAGGCTGTATGTTGGCCATGCCTGGTCTAATGCATGTGCTATTTAAATTCTTTGTAAACAACATAGGCCTATTCAGTTTTTTATGATAACTTTCAGTTCATGCAAGACATTGAAAATAAACAGCTATATTTTAAACAATTACATCATCACCAGTTTTAAAATTTTCTACAGTTTCTTTTACCTGATTTTTATTTGATTTAGTTTTTAAGTTTTTTGAAATAAAATAAAATTGTTTACTATTTTGGGTGTTATGATTCCTGGATAACTGTTATATTCTGTTTCTGTAGTCATTTTTTTATATTTGTCTCTAGATTCATTAGTGCATTTGTTTGTTTTCAATACACTTCTATATTTTGCAATTTATTTTAATAATACTTCTGTCTCAACGTTAGTGTAGTCTTTTTTATTGTTAGAATCTATTGTTTACTAAACTTTAATATCATATGTTTAGTTAGTGCATGACAATTTTTTCACAACATGTCATGTGTTTGGACAAATCAGAGCTTGTAACATACCTCTCCACTTTAGTTCAAGAATTTTGTAACCAGTGTTAGTTTGGTTGTGATATGAAAAATAACTCTTAATCTAGAGTTACCAGCTAAGGATCTTAGATTGAGAAGTTTTTGCATAAGAGGGATTTGAGAACTTGAAAAATAACAACTATGTCAAGAATGGATAAAATGATGTAAAGAATTTTGGGATGGAGATAAGGTTATAGAAAAAATAAGAGAATGGGAAAATTTGAGATAGAGAAAGGACATGGATATATATATATATATCCATGTCCTTTCTCTATATATCTCTTATCCTTATATATATATTTCTCTATATTATAAGATATATATACATATATATACTTTTTGATATATACAAGGACATGAATATATATATATATATCCATGTCCAATATATATATATATATATCCATGTAATGTATAGCCACAAATAT